GGGGAGGGAGTGTTTTGGCGGGGGCGGGCGCTTGGGGGTGAAACCCGTACCCCGACTTGGGCCTCGGGGCTACCCGCGTGACAACCCTAGCGTCCACCACCCTTTTAACTGTGAGAAGATAACCTAGAGGAGTGTGGGGCTGGCCTGCAATGTTGTCTGGAATGATATGGAAACAATGGCCGTTGTCTACTTTGGCATCGCGAGGATCGAGATCTAATAGCGGTACTTCTTGGCTGCATTGTCTTTTGTGTCCGACCCTCTTCTGGAACAAACCGCCCCCCACCTCCCCCTCGTCCTTTTATGTTGTGGCCTCCTTTGCAACCTTTGAATCGTCGTGGTTTTGTTGAATCCTGCACTATTTTCCCGTTCCACTGAGTAGATGCAGGTTGCTTGTGACAGCCTTGGCCTAGCGAGTGCAATGGAGCTCCTGTACTTCCGCAGGCGGGGCCAGTGGGCAGGTTTGGACGGGCATTCCATGTGCCCGCCTAGGCAAGAAAAAATTATAAAAATTCAGGCATAGGCAGCCCACAGCATGCCCATATCTTGGCAGTGTTTTGGGGGGGCATTTGAATTCAAACGCCAGCCTGGCCGTTGTCACATGTTCCACCCTACCTTCCTCCTAGGCCCGCTCGCGCTGCCACTTCGCCGCTTGCCTTTCATTCGCCATCGCCTAGTGCCTCCAAGCAAGTGCCTGCCGCCAGTATGGTTGATGGATCGAGGTACCTACTTGCCGCCACCTGCCACACTAAGTGAGAGAAAAAAAATACTACTCCCTCCTCCTCCCTCTCTCCTCCTGCCTCCACACCTCCTCCCTTCGCACCATGTGTAAGTGAGTGCTGTTTTTCAATATTGCCAGCGATTCGTCGTGGCCTCGCCTCCCCTGCCCCTCCTCCCTCTTCCTCCTCCTCCTCCCTCTTCCTTCCTCCTGCCTCCTCGCTCTTCACACCTCCCATGGCATCACGTGTCACCATGCCTTTTTTTTTTTTTCAACGTTGCGGCTTTGCCTCCCTGCGGGAAACCTCCCCTCTTCCCTCGTCCTCCTCCTTACTCGTTCTCCTCCCTCCCTCCCTCCTCCCCCTCCCTCCTTCCTCCATCTTCCTTCATCTTCCCTCCCTCCTCCTCCTCCTCCCTCCTCAAACCTCATTTTGTCACCCCACGTGTCACTGCTTGACAACAGTCCTGTTTTTCGGCCGTCGTCGTGGCCTCTCCTCCCTCTTCCTCGTGCCTCCTCCTCCTCCCTCCTCTCTTCTTGTTTCTCTTCCTCATCTTTCTTCCTCCTCCCTCCCTCCTCCTCCCCCCTGCTTCCTCCTTCCTCTTCCTCCCTCCTTCTTTCTCCTTCTCCTTTCCTCCTTTCGCTTCCCTGCCCTTGTTCCTCCTCAGACCTCCTCCCGCCATGTCATGTGTCACCCCAGCACCTTTTTTTCTTTTTGGTAATCCTAGCACGTGCAGCTTTGCGAATAGAATGGAGCCATCTATAGTTGCTTTCCACAAAGGAGGTGTGTGGATCACCCCACTGCCGGAAGGTGGTGACGGATGTCTTAAACCACCACCGGATTTCTGGAAGTGCCGTCTGAAGCCCAATTCAATCCTCCCTCCTGCTTCCTCCTTCCACTTCCTGCCTCCTCCTTTCTCCCTCTCCTTTCCTCCTTCCGCTTCCCTGTCCTTGTTCCTCACACTACCTCCCGCCGTGCCATGTGTTACCCCAGCACCTTTTTTTTTTTGTGTAATCCTAGCACATGCAGCTCCCCGCGAATAGAATGGAGCCATATATAGTTGCGTTCCACAAAGGAGGTGCGTGGATCACCCCTCTGCCGGAAGGTGGTGACGGATGTCTTAAACCACCACCGGATTTCTGGAAGTGCCGGCTGAAGCCCAATTCAATAAATTAAATGAAATTATTCATTCAACCACTGGGGTTTTGGCAGCGGCACCTGTTCAATCTCATTCGATTGAGTTGGATCGGATACTTAGTTGGATCGCCACTATGTGGGGAGGTTCAATGCCAAAAGTTCAAGGGTTTCTGCGTTCAGTCAATCTTGCGCCGTAGCGACTCGTCGCCAAACTCACCTAATTCCCGGGCCTAAATTTGGCTTTCCTGGCCTTACGGACCGGGTTCTTAGGGGGGGCGGCGACCGGCAGGCGCAGGCGGGTCCGGTCCAAGGATTTTCAAGTGCCAACTTTGGTGATTTTTCACGCCCAGAAGAATGGAAGAAAAAATCTGAAAGAAAAAGATCCTCAAAAAAAAAAAAAAAAAAAAAAAACTGTGAAAAAAATGTCATGCCGTTTCAAAGCATTTTCCATTTTTTCCACTCTACCACGTGTAGGGCAATGGGGAAAGTGTTGCAACTTCCACGATTTTTTGCGCTCAGAAGGATGGCTCAAATTGAAGGGCCTGTAGATTTGGTCATGGACTTTCCACGAAAAAAAAATTAAAAAAATACATAAGAACGTGAAATAAATGCTGCGCCAATTAGTCCCGTATTCCATTTTTGCTGCTCTATCACGCGTCGGCCAACGGGAAAAGTACCCTGACTTCAGCGATTTTTCACGTCCAATACAACACTCTAAAAGGTCTGAAACCCATCACACCAAGTGTCACCCCAGGGCTTCTTTTCTGTTCAATCCTCGCCTCCAGTGCTGGAAACCTCCCCCCCTCCTTCCTCCTCCTCCTCCTCCTCCCTCCCTCCTCCCTTCCTCCTCGTCCTTCTTCGTCCTCACAACTCCCGTCGAGCCATGTGTCAACGACCTAGTGTAGCTCTTTTATTTTTTGTTAATCCTCGCCTCCACTGTCGGAAACCTCCCCTTCATTCTCCTCCCATTGAGCCACATGATAGCGACTCACTGTAGCCTTTTTCGTTTTTTGATCCTTGCCTCCACTGCCGAAAACCTCCCCCCTCCCTCCTCCTGCCTCTTCTTCCTTCTTCGTCCTTCCTCCTTCCACCACATCCTTCTTTCCTCAATGTTCTTTCTTTTCTCGCTTTCACTCCAAAATTGTGGGGGGTCACGCCAGCTCGTGACAAGGCACCGGCGACATCTTCGTGGGCAGGCAGTAGTGTAGTTTGCAGAAGGCCTACCCCCCAGCCATCCAACCCCCCCCCTTTGCCCCCCAACCACCCCGAACCCCAAGTTCACCTTTGGAAGTTCAACGCCAGATTCTGCATGCTGTCAATGAGCGCACAACGGACCCAAAGTCCGAAGAAAAAAAGAAACAAAAATTTCCTGGGCACTTTTCAGACTGCCCAGGTCGCCTGGCTAGACACCGGGCCTTCGCTCGGCCCAGCATCCCGGGCCGGGCGACTTTGTAGCCCAGCTTGAGAATGGTTTGCATGGGTCCTGGGGACCATCTCACGCAATTGTGTATATGTCATGCATCATACTCGCACACAATGATCAGTAGTTTCACACGATAGACAAAGGTAGATGAGAAGAAAACCGAATTTCACAGCTTATATTATCAAAATTATGATTGCAAAGAGTTCCATAGTTCCCTGAGTCCAGCGCTCATCAGCGCAATGTCAATCCAGCATCAACTCATCAACATGACTCCCAATACATCAGCGCTACTTCTGCAGATTGTCTCCAAGTCATCAATGTGGTCACTACTCATCAGCGCCACCTCTGCAGTTCACAGCCAACTCAGGTAAGTATCTTCCATAGCCAAGCCTTGAATGAACACTCTCTGCCTCGGTCCCTTCCTCCTACGATGCATACACTCTTTACTCGTGAGGATCTACTCTGAATACTACTCGTAGCTCGCTACCACTAACTCGCTGGGCAGCTATGGCTGCATTCTTTCCCAGCGCACAGTCTTCTTCCTTCTCCCAGCGCATCTTCATCCTCCAGCGCTGCTCCTCCTGACTGGCGCACAAGTGCTCCTGCACTTCCACGCACAGAATGCCAGTGGAGATCTGGCGAGGAATGAGGCTGGCTGCTGCCTTTATAGTGCTGGCCTCTCCTCGCTGGGTCTGCATGGGCTCAGTTCAACCTTTCCTTCGTCCCAGACCCTGCATTGCATGTGTCCCAGTACAGTCCCAATGAAGTTCAACTTCTGCTGAGGCCTTTCGGCCTAGATTTGGACTTGAAAGTCTGGATCTGGACTGTCCCCTTGACTGAGACCAGAACTGGGACTTTACCTATTGACTTACTTTCGGACAGGCACATCTTTAGACGAACAGACACACTCACTGCCTGAACAGACACTCCCAAGGTGTGAATAGACACTCTTCTTTGCACGAACAGATGCGCTGACTGCACGCACAGACATACCCCATTCCGAACAGACATGACATGCACATCTCCTGATGAACAGGTAAGTCTTTTGACAATGCCCCTTGCTTTAGATTTGGATGTGCCCGTTGATAGAGATTTTGACCTTTGACCTGCTTTCACGTTTCTGAGCCCTGGTGAGATACCCTTTCACCCTGCTTTACTTTTACAAGGCCTGAGGCCTGCATCGGGTAAAGGCCCTTTTAGGTTGCCCTCCCCTTCTTGTATCGTCAGGGGACTCCGTAGCCCAGCTTGAGAATGAACTCCTTCAGTGCTCGCAGAGTTTCTCATTGTTAAAAGCTGAACAGAGTTGCCTATTGTTTGCGGTTCTATAATCTGATTGGCGAGTTCTCACAGGCGCTACTGTGTTTGTCTGCCTCCATCAGGCTGTAGAGGTTTTTTATGATATCCCTTGTTCTTTGTAGGCAGAGTACCTGTGGTATGCTGTATTGCGTGGACTCTTGTGTGCATGGTATGTTGACAGCCAATCACAAGGTTTCCAGAAAAGTTTGTATAGAACAGGTCTTACCAACTTGTGTTTGTTTTGGTTATCTTGATGTTGCTGCCAGTGCTTTGTTCTCCTGGACAACGATCACGTTTGCTTGCAAGAGGGTGCACGGTCTGTGATATCAGGCTTGGCAGTTAGTGCTAGAGCTGCAGCAGTTGCAGCAGCTGGAGTGCAGACAGCCATGTCATCCATTTCGCCAACTGTTGTTGTCACACCTGTTTCTGCACAAGCTGCAATGCGCAGCCGTGGTTTGAGGCCAGGGATGCCTATGGTGCCTGTCAGCAGAGATAAGATTATGAACTTGGGGAGCCAGCCTTCTACAGGTGTGTCAAATACTGGGAGCGGTGCTGGAAACAATAACCCTCATGGCTCTGTGGTGGGTGGTACCAGTGATGTTACAACCAAATCTATTTGTGTTCCCGTAAGTGGTGCCGAATCGACTGGCATGGGGGACGACCAGGTGCTGAATACTAGGAGTGGAAGTATGAGCAACGGTTTTGGAGTGATGCGTAACAGCCCAAGTAATGGTCCCCAGGGCATGAATTCAGCAGTCAACGGTGGCCATCCACTGGGAGGTGGCGCTGGTAGTTCAGGTATAAATGTGAGAGGAGCACAGCCTCTATCAGGTAGCAAGGTCAATGGTATGCTCTCTGCCAATGGCATTATTGGACCCCCTGCAGGGGTTGGCAACGGGGTAATGAACGGTCACGTCATGAGCGGTGGCAACCAGCGGGGTGGTGCCTATGGTTATGCAGCTGTGCGGGCAAACACTCGATGAGTCGATTCGTCCTTGAGCAGTGAATGCATCTGGACGGCTCACATGATTTGAGCGGTGAAAGTTCAGCATAAGAAAGTCAGCGCTGTATGAACTTCGAATGTGGGTTGTTGTTAGTGCTTGCAAGGAGGGTTTCTGTTGACATTTTCATTTTCCCTTTGTAAAACATACACACGGCTGGTTGTAGATCTGCATGCATGGACATGGAAGAAGGCACATGGACACTGCTGTACTTCGATGATTACACCAGTGATATGGATGTTTGATGCGTCACCCTTCGATTGACCCTGGCTGGATGTTGCTAGATCATGGTTATAATTTGCTGAGTGCGATAGGGTGGAAAGGACCAACAAGGTTTGTAAATTGTCTTCAGGGTTGTCAGTGGCTTTCTTTTTCCTATTTGTTCGTCTCCTCCCCCCCCAAAAAAAACCCTTCACCCGCCCCAAGTGTTGTTTGGAACCCCCTAACTTTGCCAATGGGTCAGGGCATTGAGACCGGAGGTGGTATCGCCGTCATGCAATGATAACGATAGCAGGGTGCAGTGACAGCTTGCGGTCGGTTCTGACCAATGCCTGTAGTGCCCCGTCCTCTTACGGCATTCTTGCCATGTTTATCTGGGCCTGCCGACCTTTCACCTCAGATTCCGAGCATGGCTTTGCAGGATGTCCTGTTATCTCCGTACTACCGTATTATATGCTGTTCACTCATTCACAGGAAGCAGGGAGAGTGGTTGCCTCTGTTGTCAGGGAGCAGAGGAGGTGTTTTCAAAATCTCTAAAAGGATTGAAGTATTGAAAGCTTGGGCGCTCTACACAGCTCCTTACTTTACCAACCCCCCCTCTTCATTTGTCTGTTGTGTAGTGCAAGCATATAAAACACACTGACTTTCTCTCTCTGCGTTTGTCTCTGTGTTGGTCTCTGCTGAGCTATTGCAGTCCTTTTTCTCCCACCTGTACTTTTCCCGCTTTTGTAGCTGCCTGTCCGTCCTGTATTCTGTATTCCTCCTCCCAGCAGTATGAATGAGCCTGGGATAGCCGGCAGTTACTCAACAGCAAGTGGGTCAGCCTGTATTTGGAAACGTACCTGCTCATTTCCATTGACTTGATTTGAGAAAAGCCTGTTGAAACTTTGCCTGCCTTGCTGTAAGAGTGAGGCGTTGTCCTTGCACCGGGTTGATTTTGGCAATCTCATGAGTGTTGTCCTCTTGATGTCAAGTTTGACGATGACTTACTGCTCACAGGTGACGAGACTGGTGTTTACTGTGGTAAAAGGAAGTGTCTTCGGCTTTTGCTTTTTACTGGTTCACAAAGCGGGATGACTGCAAGGCAAGGTGTAGTTGGTCCGAAGACGCTGAAGTATAAATATTACCTTCCGGTCTAAAAATGCCGGTATAAAAATGCCGGTATAAAAATGCTACAGTCCATGTCCCATCTGTTCCAAAAGACAACTGTATGAGGTGGTCGTTTCGAGCTCTTTATGTCAAGCAATTGCATGAGAAACCCAATTTCAGTTTGTGCATGAGGATAGGATAAATGGCGAGTCGGAACCTAAATTGGTGTTTGATGATAATGGCAGCCCTTCTCCTGCGCATCCCACAACCTGATCATTATGGAACCTCGAATCCCCATGATCTCCTGTTTGGAAATGAGGAAGGAGAGTAAGACAGCAGGATTGCATCTCTTCAAGGCTAGCAGGATTGCACTTCATCGCTTCACTTCCAGTTTTTTTTTTTTTTTTCCCAATCCACTGACGCAGAAGCATAAAATAAAGAAGAAAAAGGATAGAAGCAGCTGCCTTTCCCGTGGGGGCAAGAGTACAGGCAGATCAAAGTTTCTTTTCATGTAACCATTTCTTTTATTTGGACCATTTCTCGATTTATGCGTGGCATCCTTGTGCAGGGGCCATGCTAATCTTCTCTGTGTCGTTCCAATTTTAACAGATGTCCTGAAGGACCTCATGTAACCATTTCTTATCAACAGAGAAATGTGAAAAAAAATAAAAAAAGGCAAGCCTTACTCAAATATGAAACCTACGCGAGGTGATTCATTGTGAGGCCATTCTGTCGGGAGGATGGTCTTGCTGGCGGGGGAAGGAAAAAAGGAGGAACGGTGTTCTTAGGTTACACACGGGAAAACACAGCAGAATTTATCCGACACCGTTCTCCTTTCGCTTGTTTTCTTCTTTCTGTTGAAGAAAAAACACCCTCTGCTGACTGACACTGACTGTGACCTGCTGTCTGTTTATTTTCCTTGAAGATTTCTTCCACCTGTTAACAGCGGCTCTGACGGCAATGGTTCTGAATGCAATCAATGGCAAGCGTAGAAACGGAATCATTTGTGCAGTTTCAGTTTTGGTTTCTCTTTCTGTTGAGCACAGTATTTTTTTAGAACATGGTACTCCTTTGCTTTTGTCGTTCTCTTGCTCCCTGCTGATACCTGGGAAAGGTAGAGAACATACTTGCGGCGCATTGAGGTGCGCGCCTCGGCGCACATCTGGCGCACCTTGTGCACCGCACCCGATGCGACGCAAAAAAAAGGTCCGCTTGAAAAGAAAAAGGTCTCTCTCTCTCTCTCTCTCTCTCTCTCTCTCTCTCTCTCTCTCTCTCTCTCTCTCTCTCTCTCTCTCTCTC